AGGTTTTCAGTCTTGTCTGAATTTACCAGCAAATATTAAATATATAATGAATAAAAAACAATAAGAAAAAACCCAATAAAATACGGACACGAGGATTAATACCCAATAAGATTTGAACAGTAACTACCCAAATAATGCTCTCTCGTGTGTACACTTTTTTTGTATCCAATAAGCAGTATCCAATAGGACTTGGACTTGATGTACCCAATATATAACCAAATGTGTGTCCGTCCGTCCGTCCGTCCGTCTTTCTGTCTGTCTGTAACGCTTTCGTTTCCACACGATATCTCGAGAACCCTTTGAGCTTTTGTAATGAAATTTAGCATAGCAACTCCCTATGGACTAAAGAAGACCCCTATTGATTTTGAGGTCAAAAGGTCAAAGTTCAAGGTCATAAATAAGCAGATTCTGTATGTAAAAACACTTTCGTTTCCACACGATATCTCTAGAACCATTTGAGCTATTGCAATGAAATTTTATATAACAACTCCCTGTGGCCTAAGGAAGACCCCTATTGATTTTGAGGTCAAAAGGTTAAAGTTCAAGGTCGTAAATTTATACATTCTGTCTGTGTGTAATACTATCATTTCCGGGCGATATTTCAAGAAGATTTTGAGCTTATGCAATGTAATTTTATACCAAAACTCCCTAGGACGTCTCTCGCCCCTCTCAAAGTGCCCCGCCCCGTTGTTTTATTAGTATTTATAGTATTACATGTCGCTATTTTTAGCGCAGGGGCATGAGGAGAGTTATTGCGTATAAAACAGGTTCTCGGGGGACTTTATGTTCTTATTACATCTATTAGAACTGTTTAATGCATGCTAAATAAATCAAACACCATGGATTGTGTAAAATTTTGAGAATACCGAACATGAAAACATGAATATATACATATATGTGACTTCAGTTCTGCATATACTTCTCTTTGTGTAAAGTGATTCCGTGGTCCAGTGGTCATGTCAATCGCTTCAAGTGTGAGAGGTCCCGGGATCGAATCTCGGTCACTGCTTTTTTTTTTTTTTTTAAATACTTTTTTTTTTACTAAATGATAGTATTCAGCATGTGAAATGAAAAATTTATGAGGTTATAAAATCATTATTACAGTGTGATAAATATTCCATATAAAAAGAATCTTCTATACACGTAATAAAGAATAAGCAATCAAATCTTTATATGCATATTGACATACATGTATTTTATTTGTATACAGCAAAACTCGTTTAGTACGAACACGGATATTGCGAATTTACGGTTATAACGAAGTCATCTTGAATCCCCAGCTGTATAAATTTAATGACTTTCTCATACGCTTATAACGAATTACGGTTATAGCGAAGTAATTTCATATGTCCCTGTGACTTCGTTATAACCGAGTTTTACTGTACATATAATAATTCTACAAATTTAATTATTTACAACTTAAGTCAGGGGGATCTGACCCCCCCCCCCTCCACGAACTGCGCATTGTTTACTTTTTCCCTAAGCGGGGGACACAAATTCTCTGAATTAGCTTGTTATTTTTAAAATTAGATATAAGCACAATCATTATTATTGACAATGTTTTTAAATTGGCTTTTACAATGTAAAATATAAACTATATTTGTATACTTACTTCATACAGTTTGCAGAAATAAGTAGAATTGTTACAATGAAAACATTTAAATATTGTACACCAAAGGTTTCCATTGTGTGTTGGCCAAAACTATTTGTTAAATGGTTAATTTTGTTACTTTATTAATAGATTAATCAAAGGAAATGTGTCAGATATATGTATCTGAAAAGGGAAATCTAATAGATTAAATAAATCTTAAAAGGAAATAGAGAAGGACAAAGAGGTAGACACATATTGTTTTTCTAAAATTTCCCATTGTCAAGGCAACTGAACTGTGGTTTAATTTTTTTTTATATAAATATGTGCAATAATCTGCATTACAACACGCATGTTTATAATTTGAAATTGCTAACATACATGTAGATGTACATTGTCTTTCTATGGTCAAGTCTTTGATATTGATATTGATCTAGTCTCAAACCTTCATTAATTTATTGATAATTTTGATGATTACTAATAATACAAAGCCTTAACATCTCTCTTCCACTGTGGCCGGTATTTCGTTGAAAAAAGCAAAAAAGAGTATTTTTTTATTTGTCAATCGATTTCTGTGCTAATAGAATTATTTTGTGCTAGGTTACCAAGTATAATGTAAAAAGCATTTTCCCCCATAAAGTTATCAATAATAAAAGCATATACACTATACTGTATTTGTTAAAGTGAAATTTTTAGTGAAATTGTTTGTATAATTAATGCTTGATTTATATTATCTTAATCTTGTTGATTTGTAGTAATTGCTCTAAGCTACAGACTGCAGTGATCTGTTTATGTGATAAGGTCTTGACCGCTCATTAAGATTTGGTTGGGAAATTTAGCTCTTTTATCAGCATTGCTGACTTTTATCACCCGAGTCTCAGGGGGATTGAATGTCCGAAGTGCTGGCCATGAGAAAATGCAGAATTCATAGTGTTCACAATTAACGGGTTAATTTAGCAGTGATTGGCAGTCTGTAGGTTGGGCAGTTCTTAATATTTAGCGTAGAATTTGTGTGTTCAATTAGTTACTCAGTCGGGTCCTGTGTGTAAAATGTTACACGGGAATACAAAATAAACTTTGTTGGAAACTTTGGGCGTTTTTATTTAAAAACAGAAAGTTTCGGTGTAACAGTATTGTATATGCTTATATTTTAACACCTATTATGTAGATAATAGGATTTATAGCTATACTTTTTCCTGTAAAACTAGTTGCCCCCTTTTGGAACCCCCGTTGATTTAACCCTGTGTTGAGCCCAAGGAAATATGAGCCAAGTAGAAGGCGCATTATCCAGTGAGAATCAAATAGAGTCACGTGGTTTTGTTATAATTGCCAAACATTGATTCGACGACACGCGTTTATAGCCCTTTGGATTTTAATTGATTAAACATCGGCCGTATTTGTCGCCATTTTGCTTTTTGTAAGCCGTATGTAATTTTTCATAAAGTTTATGTTGTATCTAGTAAGAACTTAAGTTTTCTTTGTGACCTATTTTCTATGGGGGAAATCAAAACGTATGTGTTCATATCTTGTAAAATGTATATATGTTAATGTGCGTGCAAAATGTTTGTTTTTTTTCTGATTTCCCCCCTTGTTCGTAAAACTTAATTTTTCGTCATTTACTATTGAATATATGACATTTTCATTCTCTCAGATATTTGTCCTGTCGTATTTGAAATGGAATTCTGTGCAAAACAAAGCTGCGGTGAGCTGTTTGTATCTAGGAAATAGTGAGAGATATAAATTTAATTTTTCTGCTTTGAAAAGAGTAATTTCCATTGATAATGTACATGTAGAACCCACACAAACCAAGTCACCGTAATCCGGAATATCCTCTTGTATAGAGCATATTTATCAATCAAGACAGTATTTGACATTGATCCCGATGCACATTGTGTCACATCTGTTTCAGAATAGACATATGCAACAAACAGATGCATATTTGCATTAATATTTCGCTTACAATTCTTTAGAGAGTATGTTAAATATATAATAACTTCGCCAAGCAATGGGAACGTTTCGGGCTTTTAATTTGAGCAGTCTTAAAGATTTAAGATCACTTTCTCACTATCAGAAAGTTTTAACCCTTTGACACTTCCAGTGACGACCAATCTTACGAGAGGCGATTTCTACCAAGTAAAAGAAACCACACCTAAAAGAAATCCTAAATTCATTTCTTTTTATCATTAATGAATCTAGAACAGTGAATACTCAAGCACTTCATGAAGTAAATAATCGGTCTCCATTAGAATAAGCAACAGAGTAAAAAAATAATATAATGGGTACTTTTCAACTGCCACTTATTGCCTCTAATTAGATAGAAAGATCGTATGTCAGTATGTAAACATTTATATAAGGATCCATAACAATTAATTTTCTACTAATATTAGTGAAAAAGAAAACAAAGTGTGCAAAAAATGATTGAATTTGCCATTTTAGCAAAACAATACCTTTCAAGAATAATGTAACTGTGATTCTTCTTTCTTAACTTAGTCTAATTTTTATAAATCTTAAAATTTCTCAATATGCATACATGATGTACGTGACATTGCAGATTGAAATCGTTTAACAAGAATTTTATAAAACGTAAGATATTGCTCTGTCTGAAAAAAAATCTACGCACTGACAAGTTTAATTTTTTTGGAAAATTTTTCACAAACTTTTTTTTAATTCTAAGTGCATGTTTCAGCAATCCTTTTGTTAAGTTCTTAAAAAAGGTCTGTTCATAACTTTTACATCCTGACTTTGGAGGACACTTAACTTAATATACTAGGATTCATATAAGTAAATTGTACTTTTTTAATTGAGGTGGGATTTAGATAAAAGACATGTTTTTCTTTTGGGTTGTGTAAATAATATTTTGTCCATGATAACATGATAACGAGATACGATTCGATATGATCGTGAAATATTAGTCTTGCAAAGTATACAAAGTCTTCACAAAGTCTACAGATTATACAAAGCAGTCAACAAAATTCGTGAAAACGATGAAGCACTAAGAACATGATAAATCTATTGTATATCCAAAGGAAAGAAGGAAACAAATATGTACGGTTTTAACCTCGAACGTATACAAGAGATATCCACTTCACCTTACATAAATACTTTGGTAAAGTAAAGTACTTTTTCTTCACACAGGTTCAAGATTGATGATGACATTCTATATCTATAACACAACGGCTATATACACAATGTAAGTTATTGACTGATAATAAAATAAATTCAAAACCTGTATCTACGTGAAATGATAACCTTATCAAAATGATGTATTCTCCCATTCAAAAGCACTTCTTTTGTCACTTTTCATTTATTTTACATTGAAATACCTTCAATTATTTTCCTTTTGAGAAAGAGAAGGGAGATAGAAAAAAGTAAATCAGAAATATATTATTCCACAAATAATTTGATAGCACCTTTAATTTTTTTTTAATTTAGGTGTCTGCTTACAATAATGTTATGTGCTTTTTTTAAAAGTAACATTTTGGATAGCATTTCTTCATTTTAAAGCATCGTAAAAATGTTTGGATTCTCGATTGTCAGACTTTTCTTTTACAAAGAAATCCAGCTTGTCGATGTAATCATTTTCAGGAGAAGAAATGTCATTCCTGCTCTCTCCTGTTTTCAGGCCATCAATGTCTTCGTAAAAGTTTTCCTTTGCTTCTTCATTTCCCTTTGTTTTATTTAATTTTCTCTCAAGACTTTGAATCTCCCGCGTTCTTTGAACGATCTTGGGGTTGGTCTGTTGAACCTTTTTCCAGATCATTCGTGCACCAATAGCGAATAGCAGGAATGCCAAGAAAGCTATAATACCAATGAGAATTGGTGTTAACTGGGACGCCATATTCCAATTTGCGTTCTCCTCCCTAGATTCTGAAGATTTATTTTCTTGGAGCACGTTTTCTTGATTTAGTGAATTAAGATTGTGACCTACATGCATATCAAGGAAAAGTACACCATTAGTACGTATACAATGTTTTGTTGAAAAAAATTGTAATAAAACCTCTGAAACAAAAACAAATAATTGTATTAATTTTATCTGTCAATTTCTATTCACTTTGAAGAAACTGAGTTTCAGTAGCTGTTAATTTTATCAGATATATCATACCAAGAATGCAAAAAATCAATAATATCCATTAATTAATTAAATTTTGTAAGAATAGTTACCGAGACACCCTGTTGATATGTCACACAACTCCTGTGAACAGTTACATTGTTCCTGGCAATATTGACCATACCCAGGATACCGACATGCCATAGAACAGTTTACGCCGATATACCCCGGAGGACATTCTTTGAATAAAGGAGAAAAGTCAGATACATGTATATCGGTAGATGATGAGTGTATAATTTTTACTATCTTGTCTGTGCAAACTCAAATGTGCATTCTAGCATAGATTAAAAACAAGGTCTTTTCAATCATATGCATCTTAAGAATTTAAAAATTAAAGAATTTTTTTTATTGATTTGTCACGAAATAAGAATATTTAACTAAATGTGCAATAAAGGCTATAGCTATAAACAACTAAACAAGCGGTTAATTATTCTTTGTTGGTGAAATATACAAACAAATAGCCGTATCTTAGACGTTAATACATTTAACTTGAATTGTTTTAGAGAATATTTTGAGAGAAAATTAACTTCATTGCGTTTCCTTTGTATTAACATATTTTGACTTTATTTATATCTTCTACATACCTTTGCATTCATGTGAAATTTCCTCAAAGAAAAATCCTTGACAGCAATTGTTTTCGTGGTCTCTAAATTAAAATTTATCTTCAAAAGGTATACAAATATCGAAATTGGTACAAATAGTATTATGGCATTTTTATATGTGACTCTTTTAAATCACAGACTAATGCTTTTAAAAAACTAGAGTAGTCGCAGTAGTGCTCACTGAATCTACAAAATGATACCTCGCCTCCCATATGATTATTACAGAAAAATCCATATAGGCATTGAGAACACAGACGTAGGGACAAAGGGATAAGTAGATGGACCGAAGGACGGACAGATTGATGGATATCCCCCACCATTTTATACCCAACTACTTCTTAAGAGGGGGATAAATATACAATAAAATTCTGAAAATGCAAATATTATTGATAATAACTACTTAGAATTAACAATAGGTTATAAATGATCGAATACATACGGGTTGCAACCTCCTTTGGCGGCTCCAATATGATAGCAAAATGTTAAAGAAAATATAATGTACATTTTTAGATTCATTTTTCAAGTTTATTTACACCCCATTTAACTTTCAGAGATCTCAAATTAAACTTTATATACTTCGTGAGTGCGCCTTTTCACGTGACTTCATTTTAACATAGATAGTGTGTTTCAATTGTTTCTTTAAGAGTTATATAAATCTAGTCTACTTCCTTAAGAGGTGTGTTCAGATTAACATTATAACCCTTCTATTGAACTTTAGTATTTAACATTCCAAAGTTTCCTTTAAATAAAGAGTCCAGTCAAAATGTGACATATTTATATGTTCATATTTATTACCCTTACATATATGAATATATTATTTTATTTTAATCCTTTACAAAGAACTTTCATACAATTCACAGTCGAGACAGTATATATGAATCATATATCATTGTACTTTGGTCATTATACAATTTAATTAGATCTGATAGAAAAACCAGGAACAAAATCTGACTCTGATCATATTTAACTTATAGTAAGCGTTCTCAGGAAGTACCTGGTTACATCTGTAGCTGTCGAACAAATCAAGTATCAAATGTTCAGTAAAAACATACTCACCTAATTTTCTTTCACAGACTTGGCCTAGACCGGTGGTTCCCAAATAGGATCGAATTGCTTTGATTTTGCAAAGTTTAAACAATTGAAACCTTTGATCACCATGGTTTATACAAGTTTTGAAGACCTGATTTATTTTTATATCATTTATTAATGAAACAATATTTTGTCATATATATGTGAAACTTATAAAAGTATTTTTAAAAAATCAACTGATCAGAAATCTGTAAAATTTTAGTTTTAAATGCGTTTTTGTGGAAAATATGTTTTGATACAGTAAAGCAACATTCAAAAACTTTAAGGGAAGTTGTTTCTTTTAATCTTTAACAAAAATAGTTTTAACACGCCTAATAATTAGAAAAAAGAGCAGCAATATCTTTGAAATTATTTCATGATCATGACTAGTGTGACCGGCCGGCAGGAGATGCTCATTTCTCCATGACACCTAATAAAAGTTCTAATGTTCAGAGGTGCCTGTTGTTTTGTTTTTCCCCTCCAATCTTGTAAAGTTTAATGGACTTTTGAACATCAATATAATAGTCCTTTTCTCGATAGTTATTCTATTCATATACAATTGCTGTATCTTTCTTATTCTTCCCCATTCGACAACAAGGATATGAACAATTCCTTGAATTGGGCATAGCTCTTAAATATCCTCTATTAATAACAATAAATACCAGCACCTAAACTGAAATGACACACATTTCCTTGTTTCCATTCTGTCTATACATTGAATAGCCCTTCAATATATCCCTCAATTGTTAAATATAAAAAACATTATTGATATATTGCAAGATTTGTGTTTGCTACAAACTATATTGACATATTTCCGAACTCAATTTGATGTCAGTTTGATAAGGTCAGAATTCCCCTCCGAAATATATCCCTTACATTAAGTTGAGTGTACATTTAGTTTTACCCGTGTAGATGTTTTTAACCCACATCCTTGATCACTGAATAGTTAAGATGAAGAAAAGGTGTACCATAAATGCCATCTCCATTCAATAATCTGAAAGATATGGAGATAACGGACAGTATTCATGATCACAAATCCATAAAAAAGATACAAAAATAGGAACAGAGCAAAGAGGAACCTCCAAAACATCCAAAAATGGGATCAGGTGCCATAGAGGTTTCAGGATAAAGTTTGATAATAAAATGCTACGGTTTGAGAAAGATATGCATCAGTAATCAAATACAATGAAACATATGAAAATTGATCTTGTAAAGAAAATATATATATAGAGAGTTTTCTTGGGGTACTAAGGAATTTGGTTACCGATTAATTGTAGAGTTTAACGTAAGATAAGGAAAAAGCTAGAGTAAGAAACATGTTAGAATAATACGTAATATTACTAAATTTGGGTCATATAAATTTCTGCATGAGGAATTGCATTGCATTCCAAGAGCATACAAATACATGTAGATATAAAATCAATCCAGTATGATTAGAAAAAATGCTAAAATGATAATTTTAATCATTCAATACTTGATTTATACATGTATTCTTTATTTTATAGAGCAGGTAACTTTGAGTTTAATTTAATTTTAAAGTGTTTTTTGAAAAATATATGTACATCCTTGAGCTATTGCTTTATGCTAAAATGCATATTGATAAATAATAAATTAAAAAAAATGATTTGGGGTGTCCTTTTATATCCATTCACTTTTAAAATTTATTTCATCTATTGAATGCATGCATCAAATTCTCTGATGAAATATAAAAATGACTGAATCCAAATTACTTAAAAAAAAAGACTCAAAATTTCAAAGTTTGATATTGTTGAAGTGATAAAGAATACTTGAATGAAATTAAAATGAAACATATTTCGTATTTTTAGTTAAGAACAAATATTTTATCATGTAGTATAAATACAAACTGACTACTTTAATTCATGTTAATCACTTGATAATATCGATTAATCATTTTTTTCATATGTATTTCTAAACAAACATTTAACTTTATTCTTTATATAAATTTGCAATGCGTTTCTGACTGAACAAAAACATGTTCTAGACTTAACCATATATATATTTGAAAAAAGTAGGTTTACATGTAAACATTTTATATTATTTCAATGTATTTTTAACCAGAAAAAGCACTTAGCTGGTTAAACTATGAGTATTGCTTTCTGTTCTTTGTATAATTTGTATGCAGTATTGTTGATTTTAATCCTGTAGTTCGCAAATAAACAATAAAAAAGTAATTTGTAAAAAGGTAATTTTTCTTACGTACATCGACGTATCAAAATTTACTATGCAGTTACATGTATTTATATCAGCTATCATAAAATGATTTAATAAAACTGTAACTAGTTACTACATGTAGTAATACTAACAAGGAACTGTGAATTGAAGTATTTCTTTTAAGATTTGTATTTTGATAAAAGTACGGAAAGGTTTCTATTGTTTCTATTTGTTCTTGATGAAACAATGTATGAATTATTTGTTTCTTAATGTTCCATGAACAGTATTTTATAGACGCGTTACCTTGTGTACTAATGTTCATCATTGAACAACTGCCGGGATCACTCAAGCTCTAGTGATTTGGACATTTCACCGATGTTTTCACTGCTACAAATATTTAATATGTTTTCCTTGTTTTTCAATTGATTGAAATGCATGAAATCAAACATTTCTTGAACCCTCCCAAAAAATTAAATATATTTAATTGAATCGTGGGATATTTTTTGCATTCATTTGAATTTTATGTGCAATATTAAACAGCTGGTTAATTTCAATTCAATGGTCATCCTCTATTTGTGATTTCACTGCTTTGTACATGTTTGTACTTTACTTTCTTCGTTGTTAAATTTAAACAATGTCTAAATTTTTCCATTTTGTGTTTGATTATTGATTAAGGAAATATTTTTTGATATTTGAATCTTTTAATATATCTCATTTACAGGATATAGTTTATCTATGCAATCGATTTAAAATCTTTTGCAGATATCTTCTCTGTCTTCATTTACTTTAATTGTCAGGCATTACCCTTTGTAAAATGCATAATTATGATGTATTTTAAAGTGCATTTTTTAGAATGTCAAGATTTTTTTTCTTGTCGAATAAATAAGAACAAACAGCTATTATTCTCAGAAGTCTATTGTCAAAGAATTCAAATTTATGACAGAGCAATCACTGGATTTTGAAACTGAGATGGGTACAAGCACTTTTCATTTTATCTCGGAGAAGTGAATATCACTAAAATTTTTGAAAAAAACTGTTTGAAAGCAAGCAAGATTTTAAAACACCACATTTTAAAGTGGTGTTTTAAAATCTTGCTTGCTTTCAAACAGTTTTAAAAGTCTAGTGATATTCACTTCTCCGAGATACTTGTGAAGATACTAGCGGAAAAATATCTATTGGTTTTGGAATTTAATTTAAACCTGGATTAACCATATAGTTTTATTCAATTAGGATTTACATGCATAATAAAAGAAAACATTTGAAAACACAATGAAATGTCTTATAAACTGTACCTAATTTATCAGAATCTTTCTATGAGAATGACCGGTCACGGTAGCCTAGTGGTAGAGCGTTCGCTTCGTGATCGGGAGGCCCGGGTTCGATTCTCGTTCGCGGAGCTGCGTCAAACCTAAGACGTAAAGGAAGGTAGTGACTGCTCCTTCACCAAGCGCTCGGCACTAGAAGTGAAAGTCACGGGTCTTTCGGATATGACCTTAAAAACGTAGGTCCCGTGTCACGGTAGGCGCTGGCACGATAAAGAACCCTCACTGCTCAACTGAGTACGATTTTAAAGGTCTAAAAAGCGGAAAAAGCCCTTCACCGGCATTGACGTTCCATATGAGTGAAAAATTATTCAAGAGGGACGTTAAACAACATACAATCAATCAATCAATCAATATATGAGAATGTTGCTTTTAGTAAAGTGTACCACATTTTTATTTTTTAAACTTGATTGCGTTCAAGGATTGTCCAGCAATTTTGAAAATAAAGTAATTGATCATCACTAGTGAAACACTGTTTTTTTATTTTTAATTAAACTTAGTTTTATTAAATATCTACAATTTTTGAGATTGCAAAAATAATAATAATGATTTGTTTCCAAGATGTAGTTTATCAAAACTTTCTAATACATATGTTTTTTTTAAATTCTTTTGTAGTTGTTATTTATATTTTAAGGATTTTTTTACCCAATTAACACAGTTTTGTGTCCATCATAAACGCCAATTTAACAATTTATTTCAAGTTGACATATTGATGGGCACATAAATTAAATTTAATTTTGTTCCACGACTCATTACGCAATCAGTAGACTTTTTTCGAAGGAAACACAGGTGTTTATGTACTCAGGATTTAACTTATCCAAATGTTGTATTTACTTGCAGGATGCGACAACTACATGTTATATGTACATGTAATTCAGTCAATAAAATACACAAATTGGAATAATTATTAAATGGACAAAATATAAATATCTACTAATCAACCACCTGTCAGTAAAAGGTATGCCTTAGGGCAATATACTGTTAAAACTAAAAATTCAGGAAACAAACATAAAAAGTGATCATTT